TGAAAAAACTGTTCTGTAATGCGGACGCAAACTGTACAACAGGACTATGGAAGGCTTTTTATTTAAATAAGAATTGGCAGATCTCCCCTCATAAATGATTAATACCTCCTTTGCCAACAGTTACAAAACAAATTATTGTTATTGCATATTCTACATGTTGTCTTTTCTTTCTTGCCAACTTAAAGCCTGTTTAAGAAAAAATAAATAAATCTTGGCTTTTAAAGCAATGTTTTGGAATGTGTTCAAATATGATTGATCTATCCTCATTCTTTTGGCAACTAAGCTGAAGTATTTTTGTCAAAATTTATAATTTAATATGATTTGAAGTAATAAGGCATGACAATCTCAAATTTATATCCTAATAGAAGATTTTGTTCCTCTATAAATGCCTAACTTTTACAAACCTTAATTACAAATTATTTTCTTCAATTTAATTGGAAACTGTACCAGCTGTTTCGTGGCAGGTTAAGTATACTTTAAGAGACCTGTTTATTTTTTCCATCTGAAAATTCATTATTGTATTTACTTTCTTCTAGAATACATGCCAAGTTGTTAAGTCTTACAGAAAAAATAGAATGGCTCATAAGAAAGTCCATCAAGAATCCCAGAAATATTATGATCTATGTCTTCTTTCAGATCTTCAGGTGTTTGTAACTCGTTCCTCATTTTTTTTTAATGACAGAATTCACTGACTTGTTGCCTTAAAACAGAATTTCTGACAGCCATTTTTATGGAACGGAGAGCAATGCTTGTTAGGCTGAACTTGACTTGAGACAAACCTTACATTTAAATGGAAACTAAACAACCTATAAAGAATACCATGTTGTCACCTCAGGTTTTACAGGCTTCTCATATAATTATCTGAGAATTCAAAATGTGCTTTAACTAGAACGTTTAAAGATGCATCACTAATAGTCATCTATTACATTTTCACAATTGCTTTGTCCAAAATAACCATCACGTAATCAAGGTTTACACATATGAATACTTAGCTCTTATACACTGGCTAGAACTAGAAAGATTAAAAATTATCTTCCCTCAGCAGTCCCACAGCAAAGGACTAATCAAAATACAGACCCCGTTGCATCTCCTGAAGTTAGGCGGTGTTTTGGAGGACACCACCAAGCTGCAGGAGTCGAACGGCCAAGCTCTCCGCTCCTGGCTGGGAACTGCAACATTTCGCTCCCATGTCTGTCCCTCCTGGAAACGGCCCAAGCCATTCTTCTCTTGCAGAAATTCTCACTATGCTACTGCTTATAAACCAAGGCGTCCTCTTGGCAGAAGCTGATGAACAGCGCTCGGCGAGGGGATGTGCGACGAGGAACGACATTCTTTCGAAATCGCTGCTAATCCTCTAGGGTGCTGGTGACACTGAGCCCCGGCTGCCTTCACCCCAGGCTGCAGCAACACAAAAAAGTTCTTCCTCTCCCCTTTCAAAGAGACCCAAGGGCCTCACTGCCCCAGAGTACGTGATGGGAAAACGTCTGCCCTTGCTGAGGGCAAGGGGACATGAAGGGCATTTAAGTTTTCTTTTATTCGTCTTTGAAGAAGGAAGTAGGCCAGCTCTCTGATACCTGAGTTATCTCACTGCTTTTCTCTACCTGTCCCTTTTTGTTCCAATGTTCTAGTATATATGCATACAAAATGCCAGCTGAGGTCATATCCTCGGTCTGTGTAATACGCCAGTGTGGTACTGAAGCAAAGTAAATACATTCTAGAGAGTTCCCTTCATTTTAACAGAGGCACATTTTGAGCAAAGATCCTTTCCCAGGCTGTCCAGTCATGTCCAGATCCCCAGCTGCAATTCGGATTACTTTGGGATTCTTTAATCCCCAGATGTCTTTCACCTTTTCAGGAGGGACATACATTAGCTATTGGGTTTAGTCTACACATGGCAGAATCCAACTTCAGTGAAAAATGGCATTTTTATCCATAAGTGCCTCAGGATTTTTGTATATCTCCTTGGAGTATGTTGCACCAAGTATAATATTCTATTGCATTTTAAATTCAATTATTACTATAATCCAGCTTCTCATAGTCTAGCACCTCATGACCTCCAGATTGTTTATAATAAATAATAACCTAGCAATCACTTTAACAGAAAAGAAGAAACTGACCTAAAAGATTTTTCCAAAGCCCTAAAAAAATACTAAAATGTTTGATCAGACTAGATTTGTCTCTGGTGGGAAAGCTTTTTAAAGTAAGGAGTATTCAGGAACCCCTGGATACTCCCTGCATGGAAAAAAGGGGATGGAGGGGCCTAGTTTGAAATTCTGGTCACACTGGACAAAAAGAATTAATGCTTAAGTGAAACTAAGAATCTTCTTCCAGTTTTACAAGAAGGTGTAACTTCTTAATTTACCCTATTTTGTTCATTTGTTGCTTTTTAAAAAATAACTGTGAAGACAGGAAAAATACTAAAATCTAGTGATTGCTGCAGTAACATTTAAGGTGGAAACATTCTCAAACCTCACCTTGCCGGAGACTCGGTTAGCTGCACCCCATTATTAGTAGCTAATCTGCAGAGACTGCTTACGTTCATGGAGGAAGGAGATAGGAACCAGTTACCAGACATTTTCAGAATATACTGCTGCCTCTGACCCACGTTTGAGAGACACCTAGCAATAATAAGATTGTAAATTCTGTTTTTGAAAGGTACTATCTGTAGTAGGTTTAAGTACCTGTTGGTATATATGAATAAATAAGCAGAACAAGTGTTTTTTTGCAGCTTTTTAGTGCAGGCAAGGATAGAGGAACTGAAAATCTGCTATGAGAACAATATTAGACTGATTTTGCTCATATGAGTTTCCTGAAGGACAAACATAGTAAATTCTGAGTTTCCAGAACACTTATTTTTGCTGGTACAATAGCATCTAAGGTCAAAAAAAAATTCTAGTTGCATGAAAATATAAAGGAAAAAGCTCTAATAATCAGTACTATACAAAAAAAGTTCAGAGATGGATATAGTAATTATATTACTCCAAGAAATGACCTGGGAAATGATCTAGGAAAGCCATATTTAGCCCATACAGCATGACCAGGTAAGCCACAAGGCTTTTGCATTTTGGGGAGCATAGGGAAACAGGCAAAGGCTGAACACGAGTCTGTCTGAAGTCTTCCCCCCAGTCATCCCCGTCGCTGCTGAAGAACCTCACAACATACCTCATAGACAAAAAAATTCTTACCAAGAGGCTAGAAAGTCAAATTGATAGTCCAGCCATATATTAAGAGTCTATGGCTAACAGTAACCCAGGCCAAGATTGTTTTTGATGTATTTTGTCCTGTAGATCTATTAGATTGAGTAGCTCCAAAGCACCAAAGCCTCAGCAAAACTTTGACCCTTCAGCAAACAGGGTTTTTTAATTATTGCTTTGAAATGTCTCTGCTTGCATAATCTCCAGAAGCTTGGATTGATGACTTACGATTTATTTTTTTAAAAAAGCTTTTTTTTTTCCCAGATCCTTTTTTTTGAAAAAAAAAATACAGTTCCCACATTTTGAAAAGATAACTTGAGTTTTCCACATCTCTCAATCCCGCTTTAGTAGACTTCCCTCTTAAAATGACTCATTTAAACCTTGTGGCTCAAACTCCAGTGGTTTATTTATTTATTTATTTTGAAGATAGTTTTGACTGCAGTTAGTCACATACATGTAGGTTCAGATTTGCCAGAGTATTTTTTGAAAACATTCCCTGGATTCTGAAGTAACCTCACTAATTGCTTAGATGTGCAGCAGTTTTAATTTTAAAGCTTAACCTATAATTTTAAACTAGATAGACTTGGTTAAAAAGTGTCTATTTCTAATTATTGCAACCTGATTTAAACTGAATTCAAAAAGAACTAATTTATGTGCATGGCTTATTTTACAGCAGATTTTTAGAATTAGAGAAAATTCTTTAAAATAGAGTACTTGCTCACAAAAAATCAAGTTTCTTTTTTTCTGTGCGTGCTTTTTCCTGTGCTTACCATTTTCTGAAACCATTTAGTAGCAAACTTGAATAACAGAGTACATATATAATTTAACTGAAATCTGTAAATAAATTAAAAAAAAAACAGAACTTTTTAGGCCAGCAGAAGTGTGAAATCACTGGTTTTTGAACCAGAAATCTGATTATAGAAATTTCTCCCTATCAAGTTAAAGAGAGAAAAAAAGAAAGAAGAAAGAAATCATGTGGCGTGGCTTTTTAAGAGAGTTTAAACATAAACAAAAGCCTCATGAAAGAACTATGAACTATTTGAAAAAAGTTATTCAGAACATAATTTAAAAGAAGCATGGAGTAAAATCAAAATGGTTTTGAATCTTTCGGACACATGAAAAAAAATTGCATAAAATATCTACTGAATTTTCTCCTTTTACTCATCAGTTCCTTGAAAGACATGTACTCTGTTATAAAGTGATTACCACAAAAAAAAAAAAAAAAGCCTTATAGTTTAGCTATGGAAATAGCTATGGAATCAATATTTTAAATGCTTTTTGTCTTCCTAAATATTATGCAAAGAATTTATAGGTTGCTCTTCTGTTTCATATAGTTATGTGAAAGTGTCTCTGATAAAAGCACGCATATAACAGTGTTGCATCTGACCTCTTCTGTGACTTCTTCTCACGTGATAAAAAATGCATTTCAAAATATCTGAAGCCTAGATAGAGGAAGATGACTAAACTCCTGAGCTTTTGTCTTCTAAAACATTCCCAGCGCTGCCAGAGCTGGTGAAGCTCCTCGCCTGGCAGCAGCGGTGGGAGAGGGAACCCAGCGGGGGATTCAAACGCTGCCGGGTGCTGTCGCCACGATGGCCTCGGGGAACTAATCTACACATTACAGGGTTGAAAAAACTGGTAGCCACTGACAGAGGTTAATTTTAATGGAAAACCTCACCAAAAGGGATAAGGGACAAGGAGCAGGAGTAGATTTGTTTAACGAGGCAGCCAGCAGGCTCACTGTAAACGCCCCCCTTCCCACGTTTAAAGAATGCAACTATCTTCTCTCTTTCCTTTCCCATGTAGCTTGAGAATTACATCCAAGACAGTATGAAGAAAGAAATGGTAGAGATCCAGCAAACTGCAGTGCAGAACCAGACTGCAGTAATGATTGAAATAGGCACAAACTTATTAAATCAAACAGCTGAGCAGACCCGCAAATTAACAGATGTTGAAGCACAAGTAAGTAACAAATTTCAACCTAAAAATGCTTCTGCTTCCCCAGGCCTGTGACTACATTTAATAGAGCTTTAACAAAAGCAGTGCTGTAAATATGCAACGATTAGGAGGCAAGCAGTCAAACCGAGAGCTGTGCCCTGCTGAAGCGAGCACGGGTGTCTCTCATTCGCAGCGGCCTCTTCCCAAGCTCACTGACACTTGACAGACTCCCCTTATGGCCAGGAGGGTTTAAGTACGTCTAGGAAAACAACTGTTACATTCTTCCCTAAAGATAACATACTTGCAAATACTAGTGTATATCCAAACATTAATTGGGTAATAGGATGCTTCTATCCAACCCTATTTGTTCTCTCTCCTGTTAAATATTCATTCAGACACTGTCTTTGTTCAGTTCACTATGCCAGAAGGTTTTTATATTTATTTTTCCATTTTTTAATTTCTTATCAATAAAAACATGTCTTTTTATGTAACATTTTCAGACATGCTGCAAGTGGGATAACATTTCATCTCCAGCACAATGCCCTGTATTATTGTTATTTAAAAGAGGGATATATCAAAGGATGAATCAAGCAAGGAAAAAAAAAAGAATTAGGAGACTACTAGAAAAGTAGATTCACACTGAAGTAAACTTGCCTAGAAAACACACTGTTCGCTGATGATTTCAAGCAAAATAGTTGAAGAAATACTTAATTATTGCTTTAACTGAAAAACATAGTAAGAGAAATATTATCTGAAATAGAGTGAAAGTTTTTAATATATTCTAATTTTTAGCATAAGTACAAAGCTAATTAATGCAGAATGCTGTGTACTGGTAGTTTTCTCAGAACGGAAAATTCAGATACATAATTCTGGAACGATACTGAATATAGGATATAGCACTTAGTTTTATATAATCTGAAAAACACACAGAACTTAAAATCCTTGCTAGACATTTTACAATCTGTAGAATTCACCCAATGAATTCTAGTATTTTCCAACCTAAAAAAGCCATGGCACCCTGAGAGCTCATAGATTAGAGGCTTGCAGAACTTAACTATTGGAGTGAGCCTAGAGCTTCATACAAGCTGAGAGAATGTATTTACTCATTCACAGTAATGTCTTTATGGAAATTACTCCATTATTTTTGGCTTCCAGGAAGAATATCATCACCATAACTTTCCTTCTCGGCTTGAAATTACTGGTGACTGGGTTAAGGGCTTAATTAACAACATAAGGAAATTAACCAAACAACTGCTCTCTCAAGGACACTTACTTTTGGCAATAATTTTCAATTACACTTAAGTGTGAAATCACGTCCTGAATGACTGTTTAACATGAAGGACATGAGTAATCAATTCTTCCTGCCAACGAAAGCCAAATTCAGATGAAATTAAAAAAGCTGTTCTAAAACAATGAGGAATATTTCTAGAAAACAAGCCTCAAAGTAATGCAATACAATACAGAGCAAAAAGTATCTTTCGTGTTACCTAATACAAACATTTCTTCATTTGAAGATGCAAATAAATTTAACCACTAAAAATATAGAAAATACATATATTTGGATAAATATGTATGGAGAGAAAATTGAAAGAGAGGGAGTAAGTCAGACAAAAATGTGGTCACAGGATAAACACCTTAGAATATAATTCAAGATTGAGCAAAATACTTATTTCTAGGCAAAATGGCTTAAATTCTGGCACTTAAATAATTAAAATGGAAATATTTAGTGATTTCAGAGGATTGGTCCAAAACATCAACTAATGAAAGACACCCAAAGTAGACTGAGATCAGACAAGCAGCCCAACACTGTCTTTCTAAAGCAATCTGAGAAAACATCTCAATTTAAGTTATTCTCTGTATGATAAACACAATAATTCTAGTAATGAAATAAAGATATCAAAACAGAGGGGAAGGTACAACAATCAAATTAAAGGACATAGTAACCCTCAGCCATTTATCAGAAATATAACATATTACTAAAATATTCCCAATAATACGTGCCAAGAGAACAACAAAATTGCACTCTATACATTTTTCATTCCTGTTCAGACAAAGAGCTTTAAAATTGTAGTCATAAATAGAGATTTGCATGACTTCACATAATGAAATTGCAATTTGTTAAAAAGCCGTGTCTTGGTTTTCAAATACTTCTAAAATATTTTTTATTTAGGTACTAAACCAGACGACGAGACTTGAACTTCAGCTTTTGGAGCATTCTCTTTCAACAAACAAATTAGAAAGACAGATCTCAGATCAGACGAACGAGATAACTAAACTACAAGAAAAAAACAGGTAAGCTTGCCTACCGAGCCAGCAAAATACTTATTCTGTAAAGTGCCCTTCTAGGGGTTTTGGAAACAAAAGTATTGAAGTAGGAAAATAATGCTTCTCCAATTGCACCCATTTCAAAAGTCTTTTTCTCAATGAAGAAAGAGCCCAATATTTTTATAAATACAGAAAGAACTGGCAGCTAAAATGTCGGAGAAGTCCCCAAAGGCCCCATATTTACTATCTAAAATATAAAAAACACCACTGTTGATGCTTTTGACTAAAATATATTGGCTTATTATCCTTGCTGCGATTTAATTGTTTAAACTGAAATTGTTACTAACATTTTTTCAGAATATTTGTTTTCAGAAATTCCAATAACATCAGAGTGTCCAAGGATGTGTGGATGCTGATTTTGCTTGTGAATTCTGATTACTGCAGTTATAAACATTATAATAAATTCTTAGTTTTATTCTACCCCTTTATACCTCAGCATTAGTTTTCTGTTATGTTAGATAGACTTTAGTAAATGCATTTGTTTCAACTAGAATTTCACTCTTCCATAAAGATCTTCTGAACACAACTTTTTGGTTATACTCTACAAGTATAACACTGTGACAACTTAAGCTGACCTATAATTCAGGACTAGCAGTCGTCTCTCTTGTACTTTGCTTCAGTGCCATCAGACACGAGACCTCGCTAAGGTAAATAGATGGATTTTCGAGCAGATCAAGTCCCTGAACCCATCTGCTTGCTGACCTCACACAGGTGAGGTGATGAGAACAAACCACAGCAGCCCAATGACAGTTTATTAACAGAAACGTAGACACTAAAAGTGTGCCAGGTGTTGCCAGTCTTCCTCGCCTTTCTATACGTCACTTGAATTAGACCATGTAATGTATGTCAGCATGCTGCAGCAATAATAACGTTAGTTGAGTGAAAATAGGAAAATCATTGTGTCAGGACTGTTGTTATTATGAACACAACGAATACATGTGTTTACCTGATTCATGGGGTAGTCACGTATCATTAACGTATTTCATTCAGGTAAAGAGGCTGCAGGTTTATTCAGTTTATTATTCATAAATGCAAACGGACAAGAAGGAGGACTTCCTAAAGTGCTTAAATGACTCAACAAACCCCTATCCCAATTCAAATGATCAAAAGCCTAAATGCCATAAACTTTCAGCGAGGAACAGCTGCGGCATTTGTTTATTCCTAGCAAAGCCATAACTAAACATGTCTGATTACATATGGTTCTTCACTACCTAAAGTCCTATTTTATATAAAGAACATCAGGTTAAAACCTGAAATACTTTTGAACAGTAACCACTTTATATTCTTCCTTAGACTTACTTAGATGAAATTATCAATTATGCAACATGCTTCAAACCCAGCCAGTGTAAACACATCTCTAACTAAAATTCTATTTTCATTTAATACACAGCTATACTAATACAGCATCATAGCATTACTGCATTATTTTTAACCTTATGAGAGAGGTCAGACTACTGTGTTTTAGGTTCCTAGCCACTCTATCTTTTGAAGTTCAGACTGATATCCAACTTTTACTCCTAACCATTGCTGCTATCCAAAGATGCTCCCCCCACCCCCCCGCCTTTTTGTTTCCCAGCTAGTTTCAGCTTCGTATCACTGGGGTCTTATTTTACTTTTGGCAATAAACAGTTTACGAAGAAATCTCAAAGTAGCAATAACAGTGTGTTTTCTCCTTCAAAGCCATGTTTTTCAATGAGTACCATATGTGCAAAGTGCTTTTTATTTTAAAAAGCATTAGCTTAAAAAAAGCTTGAGACATGTTTTGACATTTGTGTTCACTACTCCACTGTATTTATATATGCTCCCTAAAGATTTTCTCTAGCAGTTTAATAAAACAAGCATCCTTATCCAATGGAAAACAAAGTAAATGCTGAATTTAAGAACATCACTGTTTTTGTGTTGAACTCAGCAGACATTAAACTACCCCCATAAAAGCCCATGTAAACATAGAAGCATTATCTCTTACCTAAAAAAAGATGATCTATCATTGAGTTCATCTTCTTGAAACATAACGTTCAGGACTTTTTTTTTTCAGTAATACAATCAAGAATTCTAGGCCAACTTCTCCCATCTGACTGTGCATTTTTTAACACTAGCATTCTCAAAGTCTGTATCAAAATCATTACCAATTAAATTATCTTCCAAGCAGCCACTTCCTCGGGCAGCTCCAAAACTCAGGGCAGGTAACACATCATGGAGTAACTATTTGTACTGAAATCTAACATTTATTTTTCTGAAGGGCAGATGTAAACACCAAACCAGCTTTCCTTCAGTTTTCTACTGTATGTATAGCATCAAAGACTAGAAGGGTGCCCTTATAAAGAAGGAAGTAACTTCTGCAACAGGCTTAATACTCTTTATATCTGCTCAAAACTGTTTCTTGAGACCCCAACTGCAATCTTTCTTTCAGCTTTCTAGAAAAAAGAGTTCTTGAGATGGAAGACAAGCACACACTTCAGCTAAGGTCAATAAAAGATGAAAAGGATCAGCTTCAAGTATTAGTATCCAGACAAAATTCTATTATAGAAGAACTAGAAAAACAGTTGGTTACAGCTACAGTCAACAACTCAGCTCTGCAAAAACAGCAACATGATTTGATGGAGACTGTTCATAACTTGCTTACTATGATATCTACACCAAACTGTAAGTAAAAGCAGATACGCAGACATCACTGGAGTTATATTAACTTGTATGCTCTCTTGCCTATAATCTTTTACAACTGTTTTCCCCATCTTTCAGCTTCTCAAAAATTATGTTTTTATGACAGAGTTAGAAGACTTATTTTGCGGCTACTGGTAAAGGAAGTCTTACAGGACTGGTTTTCAACATTTTGCTCATCTTCTGTGCTTTACTTTGCTCTACCTACCCAGTTCTCCAGTAGTCCAGCAAACTAGAGATGCCTAATATACTTTATCTGACATAGCATTCATTCCATGCAATACTGTAACACACACCATACAGCCAGGTTAGACTGCATGATGTCAGCCTGTAGTTTCCTTCCTCACAGTTACTACTGCAGGAGCCTGCATTATAACTGGCCTCTCCCATCTGGCCTTGCTGCACGTGCACAGAGTTGATCAAAACCAGGCAACTAGGAGTGGCCATTAAGAGCAAAGGAATGGGAGCTCACTCAAGACCTTAGTACCAGACCACAGAAAGCAGCAGGTATTCCCACAGGTCCCCCAATTTTTCATTGAAATTTTCATCCTAATTCATCCTAAAAATCACTCAGCCAATTTTATACATTACATCACCCCAATGTGCCTAACAGCTCTGCAGCACATCATAGCCACCAACTACAGCTCCCACATTTATCAAGATTCACATACTACAGAAAAGAGCACACAAACCATAAAATGAAGGTCATGGCTGCACACAAGTTAAGCAAGTGAGCTAATGTCTCGTATGGAACTTTAACAAATTGAGAAGTTACCAATAGTCTCTATAAAAGAGTAAAAAAATCTACAAGATTGGCCTTTGAAGTTCTCAGGGCTGGAGAGACACAGAGTGTATAGGACATCTAAAAGGATTAAAATGAAATACTAGGAAGAATTTAAAACAGCTTTTCAACTGAAAAGGGCATCGGTGGACTCAGTTTCATACTTCAGCAGTAGAACCAAAACATGCTTTTATGTTAGATTTCAGTAAGTAGAATTTGCAGCCCAGAAGACAGTGGCCAATTACATTTGGGATGCTGATTTTTTTTTTTACTGTAACAGAAATTTACATTATTTATTCTATTAAAAGTTTGCTTAACATTTCCCTAAACTATTACTTTGATCAAGAAAAGCATTTGATATATTGTTTCTGCTTTCTCCATTTCATTCAGCCTGAATATTCAAGCAAGACTCCTATAGCTGTTTGATAGTTGGCTCCATTTGGAAATTATGAAACACAACCTACAGTACAGTTGGAGCACAATATGGAAAAGTGTTTAACGAGCACTATCTATAGTGCCCTAAATAATATGTTTTTCTAGGTCTTTTTAAACAAAGCGCAATAGCAAGTTTGCCTTATTATCT